GGGGGGACGGAGAGCAGTGGTGGCAGGAGTAATGATGTTGAGTGGCAGCTGTGGTAGACCAGATGGTGATGGTGGTAATAGTACTACTGGTGGAGATGGGGTGGGGGTATGTTGGGGAAGGGCTGCCTGTTTCGTTCCTGGCTACTCAGCCCTGAAATAATCACACAGAAACTATATTATTTAAATTACTGCTTGGCCCAGTAGCTCTAGCTTCTTATTGGCTAGCTCTTGCATCTTAATTTAACCCATCTCCATCAATCTGTGCATCACCACAAGTTCATGGCCTGCCAGCAAAGTTTCAGCATGTCTGTCTCCGGCGACCATTACATGGCTTCTCTCTGACTCTGCCTCCTTTCTCCCAGCATTCAGTTTGGTTTTCCCCACCTACCTAAGCTCTTTGCTATCAACAGGCCAAGGCAGTTTCTTTTATTCACCAGTGGTATTCACAGCATACAGAGGGGAATCCCACCTCAGGGGTGGAGGGTGGTGCTGGTGCTGGTGGGTGGGTGGGGTGGTAAGGGCAGTGTTGATGGTACTTGTGGTGGTGGTTGGTGGTGGTAATGATGGTAATAGTACTAGTAGTGATGGCAATAGTGCTGGTGGGGGTTGGTGGTGGTGCTGGTGGTAGTGGTGATGAACTCCTAGATTTATATTTAGAAGTTGGGCCATCAACTTTTGAACACAACAACCAAGAAGAAATACTATTACCTAAATTGCTGCTTGCTTGTTTTATTCCAGTTGCGATATCAGAAGTGCTTGGTAGCCAGGCCACCTTCACAGAAAGTCCGACCTCCACCCCCGCCAGCGGACTCAGTGACCAGAAGAGTCACAACTAACGTAAAACGAGGGGTCTTATCGCTCATTGACACATTGAAACAGAAACGTCCCGTCCCAGAAACGCCCTAGCAGCTCTGGGCTCCGGGATTCTGTCACTTTTACCTGAAGAGCAAACGTCTACACTAAAGAAGCCGACAGCTGGCCTTCCATTCAGTTGCTGATGCTTTGTCTCCAGAGAATTCATCCTTAACCAAACAGTGTTAAGACAAGCATGTGACCGCGTCTTGCCACCACCATGTGCTATGAAAAGAAGCATGAGTTGTTTTTGTTTTCTGTTCCCGTAAGTTCCATCATGAGCAGTGGAAGGTCTTTTACTGTAAATATTGTGAGCAGGACTTCACACACTCTCCGAAGAATGTGGCCGCACCCTTCCTAGAGAACTAATGCTGCATCCTTGGAGCGAATGATTCCCAGGTTCATTTTCTGTCCTCTTGGTTGGATCTGTCACAAGCAACCTTGGGGTCCCTTGGCACTTTGCCTTGTTTTCAGCTTTTAAAACATTCAGACCCCGAGGGACAGATACCATTGAATTCCTGTAAAAAGAACATTTAGGTTTTAGTTTTTCATAAAAGTGAACCTGTCGGTTGACAAAAACTGGCTGTTGGCATCAGTGCAGACACTAACCAGCCACTTTCCTCAGCGAGCTCTCTGATGCATGGACACCCCTTCATGTCTTTGGGGTGCTGGGAAAAGGAAAACTTTAAAATTGATAGAAAACTAAATTTGAGGAATTAAAAATCAAGCAAGAAAAATAGCCTTTCTTTTCAGATGGTTTTCAAACTGGTTATTTAAAAAGAGAGAGAGATGAACAGATTCATACATTTGGGATGGGACATATTTCAAACTTCTGCCTTACATTGTACAGTGCAGCTAGAGAAATGAAGTATGCTATGGCCATTCTCCACCCACACCCGAAAGTTAAATATTCCTACACTTTCCATCCTTAGTTTGACGAGCTAATATGCAATTTAGAGTTGAGGAAATGTCATTTTTATCTCTGTCACACACTATGATTTTAGCTCTCACTGTGTGATTCTTGTTAGTTCACATCCTGGAGGTAATGTCCTCCTAGGGTTCCCTATCTGCCACAAGCTTTCGCTATGCTTTTTGTTCAGAGAACTGTCTAGCCATCATACAGTGTCCATGGCAACAAATTTAAGTTGTACTTTCCTTGAACTTATGTATTTAATGTTAGAAATTTGGTAAGACTTGACTAGATATGTTTTAAAACTTCTATTTTTCCATTTTACTTTCAAAAGATTTAATTTTTTTCTTATCTGAGCACAATATACACAGGAATAATGGATTGTTTGATAGCGTTCCCCAAATATCATTTTCTTGCCTCTTTTTATGTAGCTAAGAAACCTAACTATAAAGATACACAAATTTAGACTCTTGTTGACATTATTTTAAAAGGAGGTTGCAAAGATCAATCTTATATTACTCTTGTTTACTTTTAATGACAAAATTAATATCGTTATAAAAGTAATGCTTTGTGTTTATGCGCTGCTCTGCAGACGTCCACAGTTTTATCACAGTCGAGCCTTACAAGGTAGAAAAGGTACCAAACTCATTGAAGAAATCAAATACGCAGGGTTTTGTACCAAGAGGCTTAGTGGCCAAGGATCTCACCCAAGTTCCTGAGAGCCAGAACCAGGACCACGTCTCCCAGCTTTTGCCACCTTATGCCTCTTCCACACAGTCATGAAGACCCTTCACAGGTGACTCTAGGTCCATACACAGAACAGATAATGAAAATACTATCAGGCAATTTCAGAACCCCCAAGTGTGTTAAGGAAAACGTCCAGTTAATCTACACAGTGGCATTTATTGTTAAGACCATTGTCCTTTCTCGGTCCAGGACTGTGTTCCTCAAACATGTTGTAAAGGACACATGTCTGTCCTCAGCAGCCTTCCTAAGCTGAGATTTTCTAGATATTACATCACTTGTGTAGAAACCTTCCCGACTGTGGCACTTTAGCAGCCACAGACTGCTGCGTTGAAGTGAGCATGTTCCACCTGTGGGTCCCTCAGAAACCCATGGCATCAGATGCAGAGAACCTGGACTGTTCTCTGGCGTCCACACACTACAATAAAAGTGATGTTCCTTGAGAAAAAAAAAATGCACTAATACTTGGTGCCAACTTGCATACTAGCTGAAGTAACTAGTGCCATCTGAGAGATTTCTGAGTTAAGAAAACCTTATTGTGCGCAGAGATAAACTGTCCAGAATCCAGTTATGGTCTCTCATTTTGAGCTCCATGGTGAAATGTTTTAGTGCGCTCCACTTCAAACTCTAAAGTAATCCCTGTTTCTATAGGACGTCTCCATCCAAACCCTGTTCGTCTTTAAGACCTACATTTGTTTGTTTTCAGGATCAAGAATACTGAGCTAGCTTTAAGTAGCAAACTGATTTATATATGCAATTTTAGGACTCAGTAAGAGGAATGATAGCCTTTACACAGGGAAAAAAAAAACTCTTACTGCGGCTGTTTTGTTTTGAAAATAGCTTTGCCTACTAAATGCAGGTTGATTTTTGTAAAATGAATTATGTTAAACAGTGTATTCAGACAACTTTCTGCCATGGCCAAAAAGTATGTATGAAAGTATGTTCGCATTTGTTAGTGAAAGGATGCCAGTGTTTTACCTGAGATCTTAGTGACTTTGGTTATCTATGCATTCTTTAGATCCGGGATTCGGGAACAGGCAGCCGTGTTCACTAAGCCTTGTGTGTCTTAGCATTTTTTTAATTAACTTGTTAAATACAGCTTAAAATATTTTTATTTTATTTATTCTATTTTTACTGAACTATGGCGCATTATTGTGTTAATGTATTCTCTTTCCCGGGTGTAACGTCAGTTACCTGGGTCTAATTAATCTCAGTGAACTACATCACCTACAAGGTGGTTTTGTAGTGATTTGTAGTCACGTTTTTATTGGAATATGTAGAAGCAAGGGCAGAATGCTTAAAGTTCCTTTTATTTTTTAAAAGCAACTAGGTAGGAGTGCTCTGCCCACCTTCCCTGTGCTCCGGGGCAGCATCACCGTGGTAGCCAACATGCCTATGGCTAAGACCATGTCTTCGTAGATAGACTAAGGCACTGTGCGGTGCTTTGTTTTTATATCCTTCACAACTTGCGTGACGTCATCAAAGAGCTACACATCCATCCATGTGCCCTTCGTTCCCACCTGGATTCAGGATCACCCATGGCTAATTGGAACCATTGTTTCATTTGTTTGTCTGTCTGTCTCACCGCATGGACACTAGACCCATTTCCATTAAAACAAATTCTTGGTGATGTAACTGTTGGCACTACTATTTTTTTTTAATACACATTAGACATTTAAGAAGGACACAGAACAAACCACTCAGAACAGGACCACTTACGTGTAGCCCCAAAGTTTCCCTTACTCTAGGGCACACTCCCTGTATGAGCATTGCAACGCAAGATTTCACAAACCATGTGGGGAAATGTCTCCCTAACATTAGCACAATTTAATCAAGCCAAAAGCTCTCAAGTTGGCCGGGTTTAACCTAACCTCCTCACATCCGACATGCTCACAGCCAGTAAGAAAGCAATTGAACTTGTTTCGGCATACTGGGGGTGTGGCTCAGTGGTAGAGCGCTTGCCTAAGATGTGCCCGGCTCTGAGTTTTAAGCCTTGGAACCATGAAGGGGGGGGGGGGGTTGCACTTCAAGGCAAAGATCTTTGCTTGCACCAGCTGTGAGAGCATTGCCAGGCAGCCGCATCAGCTGCTTCCTCCTAAAAGGACGTCTTGTTTTCTTTTTGATGCCTTTTTCTGTTGACCACGTTTGCACATTTAAATGTAAGATGTTGTGAGAATAAATGTAGCTGCGTACGAGGTTTGACTCGTTTCTCTGCCAGCACGGCCACTTATATAAGAAACAGATGCAAACCTAGTGTCTCTACAGTCGTTATTTTATTTTTGTATTATTCTTACTTCAAATTAAACTTTTTAAAAATCATTTTAGTAATGTAAGCTTCTGCTTTCATTAGTGTTTGCCTTTCCCACCTGGTGAGAATGAGCTGGTGACTGTAAGGACTTGCTCTTCCCTTACTCTTCCGTCAGTAAAGAGCTGGCGTTCCGAACACAGAAACCCATCCAGGCATCAATGGGAATTTTTTGTAAGCAGTCTCATAGGGTTAAGGTATCTCAGCACGCACACAGGGTCTGCCTTTCATTCTTGTAAGAATCAAGAATGAAAGTGGGCAGTGCATTGAATCCAAAATGAAAGGTGGTAACCAGAAAGCCAGTTGGATCTGGTTTTAACTCCCTGATACACAGAAGACGAGTAATTAAAAGTATATGCCCAAGTAGTTCATGTGCTGTGTCGTGTTGTTTTGTCTTTGAGATCAATCTTGATACGGAAGCCAGACTGGCCTTGAATTCATGCTGATCCTCCTGCCCCAGCCTCCTAAGCACTGGGATTGCAGATGTGTACAGATGTGGGCCACCACATTCCACCCTCCCTTGTGCTGCTAAAGACAGTAACTCTCAAGGAACGGCATTTCATGTTGCTTCCAGGGTTTTTACACTGGTAATAGTTTTGGGTAAAAATCTGAACTTGTTTAGACTCTGGGCTCAATCCCCAGCTCCACAAAGCAAATAAATGAAATGAAAAAAAAATATAAACTGTTACTGTGGTATTTAAATACTATATGTTTTTTTTTTACTTTGCAACACTTTAAGAAACTCAAGAAAGTCAAATGCAAATTAAAAGACTGTGATCCGCAGTTTTCACTAGAGTTTTCTCGTGTTGTTTTTACCCTGTTTTCCTTCTCACTCTACCAGTGATTGACTGAGTCTGTCTTTCCAAGAAGACTGCCAGAGAAGAGCACACAGGCTTAGTGGATGAGTGGGTCCATTGAGAAGCTCCTCAAATGTGCAGAGAGGAAGCTAGTTTAGCGCCGAGCTGCAAGTGAGGAGACTGAAGTGGCTGCCAGTGGCGACGGAACCACACGCTGCTAGAGAGTAGACAGTATCCTGAGCTGCTCTAAGGCAAAGGGTTGACCCAGAAAATACGCTTGAAAAATAAAGGTCTCAAACCAGGTGGAATGGTTTTCAGCCTGATCTCCCACTGCTGGGCTGAAAGGGCAGCTCCCCTCTGAATGGTGGTCAGTTAGGCTGCACCTAGAAACATAAAGACCGGCGTGTTTTCTATCTCAGTAGCATACCTAAGCAATGGAAGCAGTGTGGGGTTGTGGCTTGTAGGTCTGGGGATGGAAACTGGCACCTGATCCGTGCTAACCACAGGCTCCACCACGGAGTCGCATCCCAGCCCAGACAGCCTTTTTCAGTTCAGCTCAGGCGAGGCTGAAACTGGGAGAGAACCCTTCTGCCTGTTTCCTAAGTTCTCTGTGTTTTAAGAGTCATAACTGACAATTCTTTGGAATATAAATATAAGCCTCTTGAAGCATCAGCTCATCTTCTTGACTCACAGATTTTAATGAGAAATATAAATCTTTGGCTGAAAGAAAACTTCTATGAGAACCCACCAATCCTTTGTCCTTCCCACTTCAAGTGAGCCAAGGACCTCTGGAGCTGAAGCCCATCGGGCCCAGTCTGCTGCCGCGCTGCCACCTAACCTGAGCCTTTGGCACTCGCTCATGCTTCTCCACAGCTGAATTCTGAAGATAAAGCTTACATTCAAACTCCAAATGTGTCAGAACTCTTTAAAAATAAGATTTTTAGTCATAACTTTATTTAATGTCAAACAATTTCTGTTGCCATGATGAAAAAAATCAGACCCAGAAATGATAATCATGTCAATATTGGTAGACAATTGCTAATATAGCTAAGAGTAATTGACGTTTAATGTATTAACATAGTGCTACAATATATTGTAATTGTGCATTAGAAATGAGTTACCAAGGTTTGAGCACTGTGTGCCATCAAAATGACTTGTACATTTGGCTGTGTCACCTGATCTTTGCATAGAATCAGAAATCTTTGCGTTTTTCCAATGATACATTGCTTGTGTTCAACAGTTAGACCTCTTTCTCAGAACAAGAATACTTAGGTAGAAATTTGCTCGCTGTCCTTGTTCCAACAATGTTTGGCATAAACAGAAGGAAGGGATTATTGTATGCAGTCTACTCGGGATTCTGGAAATTCTCCAGAAACATTGTTTTCTGTATGGCCATCCGGACTGCGCACACCTGGTACTGGGCTCCCTACTCCTAGTCAAAGCTCAGTCCATTGCAGAACCTCCTGGCATGCCCTGTTTGGGGAACAGTGGGGTGCTAAAGGGAAAAGCTGGCCTCAACTGGGATCCCAGAGGTTTCAAGCACAGTAACTTCCTGGCTGAGGAGCGGGGTCAGGTTCCTGGCTGGAGCTGGGGCAGGCAGGAGAGGACACCATTCTTTGTATCTGAGGAATTTCTACCAAGCCCCTCAATGAAGTCTGCAGAGAAGCCTGCTGGGAGGCACTCTGCCCACTTCAGGGAAGCCAGCTGCTTAGTCCACACTCCCTCACAGGAATCTGCAGCTGGGCATCCTAAAACACATTAGCACTGAGCTGGTGACACGGCACCTTCGCTTGCTCCCTCCATCACTGCTTCTGTCTTCATTCATGGAGGTAAAGTCGCAGGGGAAGATACTAAGTGACCAGAAGCCCCAGTAATAGTGTCTGAATGGAAAGAAATCCCAGCCAGCCTGTAGGAAGGGCCGCACAGTCAAAGCCATGGTCTAGGATGCCTGACACAGGAGGAAGGTGTGCTCTCCTTAGCCTTCTCCACTCTTCTGGTTGCTGATGGTGTAACATAGCTGTGCGTGCCAACCTTTGATCCAACCAAGCGATAGTAGATGCGGTTTGCTGGCATCTGAGCTCGGGGTACCTGGGAACTCGACAATGGGAACATCACTGGAGGCAAAACAATCTCAACGGCCTTCAGAGGAATCACTTTGCCTTCTGGCCTTCGTCTCAAGGTCACCTGCCGGTCTTCTGGCCTGGAAGAATAAGTAGTCTTCATCAATGTGGTCAGTAAAGAATTGGTGCCAGGCTTGGGTTTTCTGACCTGGGAGGAAGCGCCCCCTTGGGAGCCAGTTTTTGGTGGGAGAGGTGTTTTAGTTGTTAATGCCTCGCTTTGAGAAGTACTCGCTTTACTTTCTTGACTTATGAACTCGGCGATTTTCATTTGGATGCCATTGTTGTCATTAGCAGGAGCTTTGGACAGTGATGTTTTGGATTTCTTCCTCTTCTTCTCCCGTTTGGATGTCTTCCCAAGCTCAACCCCATCCAGTAGACCCTTGGCAGCAGCTCGGGCCAGAACATCCTTCACGGACACTGTCTCAGATGGGTCTCGCTGCAATGAAAACAGCAATTGTTAAGACTGGGGTGGGGGTGGGGGGGCGCCATCAGTGCACAGATTTGAAATATTTGTCAGCGATTAAGTGAAAATTAAAACATACTAAAGTAAATGTTTTTTTAGGCCTTACTCCCTAACATAACTCATAAACCCCAGAAATAACTTTTTTCTTAGTTCAACTTCCTCATTTTCAAACCTCGTAAGAATTACCCTGCTTATTTCTTATACACTAAGGAAGATGCACTAGGCAGTTGGCAAACTGCTGGAAGAGGTGGGGTGGAGGGCAAGCCAAAGAGAAAGACTGAGGAGAAGCGTGGTGAGCGAGGATTGTATGCTGTGTAGCGATAATCCTGCTCCTGCCCTCCAGCCATGGGCAGGCTCCTGGGCGCTGTATAAACTGGGGAGTGGAGGCCAGAGAAACAAAAGTTCAAGGGCATAGCTAGCTACAGAGCACACAAGGCCAGCTCTTGGGCTACACTAGACCCTATATTTATATTTGTATACATACAAGGAACCATGGCAAAATAGTCATGAAGTGGGTGCCAGTGAAGAGAGTTTGTTGTTTTCGATTTCAAAGGATGTCATGCATTAGGATTTTTCTCCCTTACCTCTCTTGTTAAAATAGAAAGAAAGCAACCATTGGTAACATCGGATGGTTCCAGTCTAAAGAATTTGTCCACAGACAGTTGTATTTCCTTTAGGGAGCACAGCGGAAGAACAGGAGGACTGAGTCTGCAGCAGAGAAAAGAAACAGCTAACAGCTAAAATAACAATGTACCCAAGAGAGGAGTGAGTATTCTTCAACACTTATTTTCTGTTTTGACAATCACTTAAATAAAAACCTCAAATAAGAAAAAAAAAAAAAAACGCTAAAGCTGTCTTCCCCCAGATCTTAAGTTGAAAGTTCAATATTTCATGTTAGCTCATAATTTATTATATTTCCAAAGTCTCTAAATAACTACCAAGAAGAAGCTCTTAACAAGCCAAGAGCCTCTCTAAGGATTAGCATTCATGAAAGCAGGCGAGCACAGCAGTCACATGACAGATGTAGAGCCGCGGCTCAGAGGGCAGTGTGTTCCCCTGACACACAGGAAGCCGTGGCTTGGCTCCTGGGCACTGCGTAAACTGGGCAGTGACACAGACTCGGGGAGTAGAGACAGGAGGAACAGAAGTTTCAATGTTTCAAGGTTAGCACGTACAAGGCCAGCTCCTGGGCTACCGAAGACCCTGACTCCAAGCAAACAAACCAGCAGGGCTAGTGAGATGGTTCAGCAGGCAGAAGCACAAACCTGATGCCCTGCGTTCAATTCCAGGACACACATGCAGAAGACCCAAACTGACTCCCAAGTTGTCCTCTGACCACCACATAGGCTCTATGGCTTGTGTGTGTGCGTGTGTGCACGTGCGCACACGCACACACACACATACACACAAAAATGTAAGACTACACAATACAGACACACACACACACACACAAAGTTCAAGGTCATTTTCAGCTATATAGTGAGTTTGCAGCGAGTCTAAAATTCATGAGAGCCTGTGTCACCAAAAAAAGCATATAATAAAGACCTTCTAATACAAATAGAAAAACATTAACTATTAACATGTTTATAAGTATATTTTTTCATTTAATGTCATTTATAAGTAATATTCTTATG